GAGCTTTTAAATTATAAGAATACAAATACAATTTCCTCCCATAGCAAAACCCTCACCACATAGAATGATTGATATACGTTTGAAAAACAGATGTAAAAATAAAACATATTTAATGGATACAAAAATAAAGCAAAAGTTAGAGAGTTAGTGAAGATAGCATCTTTTGTGGCTATCTGCCCAATTGTCAGTACACTAACATTTTAAGTAAATAACAATAAAGAAGAAAAACAAGGACCAGTATTTGTAACAAATCTACTGTAGTTTTAACAGGAGACAATCATTTGAATCTTAGAAATGGATTTATTTTGTTGATGTATAGGGATGAAATTGTTTAAATGATGCAATAAGTGAAACATAAAACCACATTCTAAAACATTGCAACCATACAGTTAAATAAATTATACCAAAGTAGCAAATTTGAATAGTTCAGTGGATAGTGTACTCGCTTCTCACCAAGATGACAGGTGTTTGATTCACCGGGCAGGTGGGTGTTCACCGGGTACTCCAGTTTCTTGTCAAACTAAGACCTTTGTGCGATAACATCTGGGCCAACAACAGTGAATTATATCTGCTGAAGATATTTTTTTCATCATTATTTTAAACTAAATATAGTTTATTTGAAAATGAAGTTGGAACAAAAATTATAATTCGAACTCAAAATCATGTCAATGACGACACCTGAAAAAGAATAGGGAGAACAAACTGAGTACAAAATTAGAACTCTTCGCCATATCAATAGATATGTTTCCAGGTCCCACGACGTGGACGTGGTTCTACTCGGGACCCGAATTTGGAATGAATAAATATCTGTGTTGTGATTAAGTTGTTCGGTTCAGTATTAAAGTATTTATAAAATGAGGTATCGAAAAAGAAAAGAAAACGTATTTGATTTATTAAAATTCTTCCTATTTCAAATCCCAAATGGCCTGTATCGCTCACCTGTTATTCATGTCACACCATTGACTTTGAAAAAGTTGCCAGTTCAAATGTATTGGCTTTATCAAATAGGCTAAATTATATGGTTACGTTTCATATGATGGTTCTTTAAAGAATATTATAACTTAACGCTTTAAAAAGCTGCTTGGAAGACCTTCACATGCTGTGATAAGCTGACTTTCAACGACAGTTAAAAGTTAGGATCAATCCAAGGACGCTGCCAGCCTAAGTTTATGACTGCAGACCTTTCAGTTCTTGAAAAGAAATCAATTGAGGTTTTTTTTTACCTTTGTGTTCTTGAAAGTAATTCGGTATTTTTGTTATCAGTATTTTTAAAAGAGTTTTTTGGGCTCCTTACCAGGATGTTCCCAGCCTTGTATCATGACTCTAGACCTTTCAATTCTTCAGAAGAACTCGTTTGACGTTTTACATATTTGACTTTGCATATAAGTAGTTTTTTTTTATTCTTCAGTTAAAACCGTACGAAGTTTTTGACCTATTTAACACTTGTGACCTTGAAAGAACGCCAAGGTCATGTTTATTCGCCACCTTAGTCAGGTTCTCAGCCAGGACGATACATGCCAAATGTCATGAATCTAGAAGAAATTGTTGAAATGAAAAGTTGCTGGCGACGAACGTTGCGCCATGGCACAATCTCACTTGCCTTTCGGGCAGGTGAGCTAAAAACATCACGTTACTTATAACGACTAATCACTACATAAACAACCCAATCAAAACAGGACATTTACTTTTAGTTAACTGTCCGAAACATAAATTTGGTGTCACTTCTAAAGATTGTTTTTGTAAACATAACCCAAATAATACAGTCGCTGTTTTGGCTGAAACCACGAGTGACAGCATGCAGTGACTACATTTAAGTTGTGACATACAATTAAGATAGGTGTTGGCTGTCCGGTTGAGTCCGAGACATCTCTCCTGAAACAATCTGGGTTACAAAATTAAACAAAATAAAGGAATTAGCGTTTCATAAAACGTTCAATAAATTTAATATTTATTTTAATACCGATGATACAGTATGAATTGTACTGCTGTTTCACAGTTGAACATAAATATGTAGATAATTACGACAAACAAGTTGTCAGTGATTGTTTTTGTTTCCCAATATTGCTAGATTTTTATTGACGTTACATGCAGATTTTTTTTTTACGAAAGCAATTAATACCTATGCTGTCAAAATAAACATCGTCTTCGTGTGAAGGTAATAAAACATGAACGTTTTTCTACATAAATACAAATTATTATCATTCAAGAAAGATGTGGTATTGAAAATATAATATGATATTGAAAAGAATTAAAAACTTATAAGTAATAACCAATATGAATTCAAATTAGTTTAATGCATCTATTTGAGTGAACTAAATATGGAAATCTTAACAATCAAAATAATCTGAAGGTGGATGTAAGGTTTTATAAATGCAATACGATATAAAACAACCAAACGTATAATTCACGATAAAATATAATTTCATGTTTTTCATTTACAGATAATTACCTCTGACTAGGCATCGTCAAACGTTGGCGGGAAATATGACGTCATCAAGGAGTATACCACTGATTAGTGTCCCATTGGAACTACTTACCGCCTTCCTTGACGGTAAACGAGCCGCGCCGTCTTAACAAACTTATATCTCATTCATACAAGCTCCTTTCACGTCATAGCTCACATGCGTACATATCACACTCGGACACTTTCTGGACAACAAATGGACAAACAGGTCAAGACGAATATAGACACAATATGATTACTGCACTAACGTGAACGTTACAAATTGACGTAAACGGATATAAAGTAAGACACAGACAACAGGACACACCCTGTAAACAGTAACGTACATAAACAAACGACACAAAAAAGACACTATCAAATAATTAATAACATAATCACGTTATCTGTTTCCAAACAATGTTTAAAACAAATATACAATCTTTTCTATACTTAGGAGATCATTTTAGCTCTCATCTACAGCTCGATATTAAACATAAAATATGTTTTAAAAAAACAAATAATTATTATGTAATCAATACTAGATATGTAAATAAAGTGTCAACAATACGGTATACAAAAGCATATCATCAATATAATAAAATGTCAAAAAAATAACTTATTAATGAAATATACAAAACAGATTTCACAAATATCGATTCAATCGTATTTACATCAATTATTTGCTCTTATTTGAATAAAAAGTAAAAAGAAAAGCAAATGTTTAATAACAGTACATCGATAATTTAAAAGTCTGTTATTAATATAAACGTACCTGTGACATTATAACAGAAAATAGTAGCGGCGATATTACTGCAATAACGAACTTGACTCCATCCGTCAAAGGAACAATCAGCTAGACTGTCCTCCGTACCGTTACAGTCTACACCTGACATCCATACAGGATCTGTAAGACTGCCATAACGGGTGGTGCGAAATATATTATGACCAGCACTGAAAGATAGACATAGAAATACCAGATTGTTTGGTGCGAATCACTTGACAAGTCTTAAATAACAAAAAGCATGTAATTTTTTATTCGTAACGTAATACAAATTTGTTTAACACGTCTGTATATAGTATTGCCTTCCGTAATATAACTCACCAAGTAATGTCCGCTGCTTTTTATATCAGAAAAATACGGTAACATACAAGAAACTGTAAGCCGTATGTACAAGTATGCATACTCCTACACAGAGAAAACGGCTGAACAATGCGGACATCACAAAGAGTGCTGTTGTTGATTTAATATAAGACTACTTAACATTTAGGAAACACAAGCCATGTATTTGGTAGAAAACGTTTTGCAGTTGGTATAGAACTTTGACATTTACGTGGAACTTAATTTCTTTCATTTCCTTGTGTGTAAGATAAAGCTGTCTAGTGAAAGAAAGTGGCGTCACGAATTTGAAATATTCGATGCTACAATCCGAACATGGCGACGTAATGAAATTAAAACCTTTTACGATGTATTTACCGTATACGTTACAAAGATGTGATAATGTTTCCTGCGTAAGACTTTGTTTACGAATATTGGGTATGCTTAAGCTGACTGACATATTCGTATTCGTCTAAAAAGCTGAGGGGAACAATTGATATTTTCAAAATGGTAGCCAGTCAAAACTTATTTTCATGGTTTCTGACCTTATTCTTGTAGCTGGAATAAGAGATTATCTTTCATGAAAAAGGATGTGGGATAGGAAACTTCCATAATCGGGGTTTTCAAATTTCCCTATCCTACACCCCTAGACAAGAAGGAGTCTTACGTTCTTCTTTATTCTGATTGTAATATTTACCGGACGTGTTTCAAACTACAAAGAATGGCTACGGTAGCATCACTGTCGATTTATTACCTGTATCCCAACATCCTGCACGTTACATTAGCATCTCTGTCGTCCCAATCGTATAGGCCACAAACAGTTCCCCAGTAACCACTGTAGAACACTTCTACACGGCCGACATTGGGTTCTGGACCTCCACTCAGACGAATCTCAAAATCTGTTTCTGTTAGAAAGTATATTTTATATTTACATTGGAGGACAATAAGATCGCAATTTTGCTAATTTCATCACATCACCGTATATCTGTACCATTTTCAGCGTGCAAAAAAGGTATTTTTTGAGAATATTCCCATGAAAAAAAAACAGTGTTTATTTCATATTACAAATTTTTATTAAATAAATAATCTTTTTTCATCAGATTAAATTGTATTTGAAATGATACAAAAGAAGGTTAATGCACGAAAAGTGAAATCTATTGTTACAGGCTGATATTTTTCTGCAAAAAAAGTATGACAGAGTTCTGTAACAGTTTTAGGATCTTAACCTATCCTTTGATCGCTTTCTAAACTTCCATCAAATAGCTTTCACAATAAATTAATATTTATGAACAATACTAGGAGAAAGTAAACATTTCGTTGTTTTTTTAATTATGAGAGAGGTTATACCTACATTAATTGTTATCCATTTTGAGAAACTGAAGAACAATTTAAAGTAATAAAAAATCATCCGTGCTTAAAATAGGATTTACATTTAAAAGTCTGTTATCAATATAAACGTACCTGTGACGTTATAACAGAAAACACTAGCGGCGATATTACTGCAATAACCAACTTGACCCCATCCGTCAAAGGAGCAATCAGCTAGACTGTCCTCCGTACCTTTACAGTCTACACCCGCCATCCATACAGGATCTGTAAGATTGCCATAACGGGTGGTGCGAAATATAATATTGCCAGCACTGAAAGATAGATATAGAAATACCAGATTGTTTGGTGCAAATCAGTTAACAAGTCTTAAATAACAAAAAGCAGGTATTTTTTTTATTCGTAACGTAATACAAATTTGTTTAACACGTCTGTATATAGTATTGCCTTCCGTAACATAACTCACCAAGTAATGTCCGCTGCTTTTTATATCAGAAAAATACGGTAACATACAAGAAACTGTAAGCCGTATGTACAAGTATGCATACTCCTACACAGAGAAAACGGCTGAACAATGCGGACATCACAAATAGTGCTGTTGTTGATTTAATATAAGACTAACTTAACATTTAGGAAACACAAGCCATGTATTTGGTACAAAACGTTTTGCAGTTGGTATAGAACTTTGACATTTACGTGGAACTTAATTTCTTTCATTTCCTTGTGTGTAAGATAAAGCTGTCTAGTGAAAGAAAGTGGCGTCACGAATTTGAAATATTCGATGCTACAATCCGAACATGGCGACGTAATGAAATTAAAACCTTTTACGATGTATTTACCGTATACGTTACAAAGATGTGATTATGTTTCCTGCGTAAGACTTTGTTTACGAATATTGGGTATGCTTGATCTGACTGACATATTCGTATTCGTCTAAAAAGCTGAGGGGAACAATTGATATTTTCAAAATGGTAGCCAGTCAAAACTTATTTTCATGGTTTCTGACCTTATTCTGGTAGTTGGAATGAGAGATTATCTTTCATGAAAAAGGATGTGGGATAGGAAACTTCCATAATCGGGGTTTTCAAATTTCCCTATCCTACACCCCTAGACAAGATGGAGTCTTACGTTCTTCTTTATTCTGATTGTAATATTTACCGGACGTGTTTCAAACTACAAAGAATGGCTACGGTAGCATCACTGTCGATTTATTACCTGTATCCCAACATCCTGCACGTTACATTACCATCCCTGTCGTCCCAGTCGTATAGGCCACAAACAGTTCCCCAGTAACCACTGTAGAACACTTCTACACGGCCGACATTGGGTTCTGGACCTCCACTCAGACGAATCTCAAAATCTGTTTCTGTTACAAATTATATTTTATATTTACATTGGAGGACAATAAGATCGCAATTTTGCTAATTTCATCACATCACCGTATATCTGTGCCATTTTCAGCCTGCAAAAAAGGTATTTTTTGAGAATATTCCCATGAAAAAAACAGTGTTTATTTCATATTACAAATTTTTATTAAATAAATAACCTTTTTTCATCAGATTAAATTGTATTTGAAATGATACAAAAGAAGGTTAATGCACGAAAAGTGAAATCTATTGTTACAGGCTGATATTTTTCTGCAAAAAAAGTATGACAGAGTTCTGTAACAGTTTTAGGATCTTAACCTATCCTTTGATCGCTTTCTAAACTTCCATCAAATAGCTTTCACAATAAATTAATATATATGAACAATACTAGGAGAAAGTAAACATTTCGTTGTTTTTTTTATTATGAGAGAGGTTATACCTACATTAATTGTTATCCATTTTGAGAAACTGAAGAACAATTTAAAGTATTAAAAAATCATCCGTGCTTAAAATAGGATTTACATTTAAAAGTCTGTTATCAATATAAACGTACCTGTGACGTTATAACAGAAAACACTAGCGGCGAAATTACTGCAATAACCAACTCGACCCCATCCGTTAAAGGAACAATCAGCTAGACTGTCCTCCGAACCTTTACAGTTTACACCTGACATCCATACAGGATCAGTAAGATTGTAAAAACGGGTGGTGCGATCTATTTGTTGACCAGCACTGAAAGATAAATATAGAAATATCAGATTGTTTGGTGCAAATCAGTTAACAAGTCTTACATTAAAAAACAAAAGTATTTTAATATTAGTAACGTAATATAAATTTGTTTGTGGTACTTTATTAACAAGTCTGTATATTGTATTGTCTCCCGTAACATAACACACTAGTAATGTCCGCTGCTTTTTATATTGCAAAAAAAAACGGTAACATACAAGAAAGAACCTGTAAGCCGTATGTACAAGTATACACATTCCTACCAAGAGAAAAACGGCTGAACAATGCGGACATCACAAATAGTGCTGTTGTTGATTTAACATAAGAATACTTAAAATTTATGGAATACAAGCCAGGTATTAGGAAAAAAACGTTTTGCAGTTGGAATAGAACTTTGATATTAACGTGGAACTTAATTTTCTGTTATTTCCCTGTTTGTTCATTAAAGCTGTCTAGTGAAAGAAAGGGGCGTGTCGAATTTGAAATATTCGATGCTTCCATCCGGAAATGGCGACGTAATGAAATTAAAACCTTTTACGATGTATTTACCGTATACGTTACAAAAATGTGATAATGTTTATGCGTAAGACTTTGTTTACGAATATTGGGTATGCTTAAGCTGACTGACATATTCGTATTCGTCTAAAAAGCTGAGGGGAACAATTGATATTTTCAAAATGGTAGCCAATCAAAACTTATTTTCATGGTTTCTGACCTTATTCTGGTAGTTGGAATGAGAGATTATCTTTCATGAAAAAGGATGTGGGATAGGAAACTTCCATAATCGGGGATTTCAAATTTCCCTATCCTACACCCCTAGACAAGAATGAGTCTTATGTTTTTCATTATTCTGACTGCAGTATTTACACGACGCGTTTCATACTACAACGGATGGCTACGGTAGCATGACTGTCGATGTATTACCTGTATCCCAACATCCTGCACGTTACATTAGCATCTCTGTTGTCCCAGTCGTATATGTCACAAACACTTCCCCAGTAACCACTGTGGTACACTTCGACACGACCCACATTGGGTTCTGGACCTCCACTCAGGCGAATCTCAAAATCTGTTTCTGTTAGAAATTATATTTACATTGGAGAACTATGAGATCGCAATTTAACTAATTTCATTACATCACCGTATATCTGTATCATTTTCAGCCTGCAAAAGGTATTTTTTTGAAAATATTCCCATGAAAAAAAAATAAAAAAATTACAACTGTTGATTAAATAAATAACTTATTTTTATTTGATTAAAGCGTATTTGAAATGATACGAAAGAGGGTATCTTCATAAAAAGTGAAATCTAGTTTTGCAGGCTGATATTATTCTGTATTTTTTTTTACAGAGTTCTGTAACAGTTTTAGGATCTTAACCTAATCTTTGATCGCTTTCTAAAACTTCCATCAAATAGTTTTCACATTAAATTAATAAATATGAACAATACTAGAAGCAAGTAAACATTTCGTTGTTGTTTTTGTTCTTTGATAGATGTTATATCTTCATTCATTGTTATCCATTTTGAGACACTTAAGAGCCGTTGAAAATATTAAAAATAAAATTGTGCTTAAAATAGGATTTACATTTAAAAGTCTGTTAATAATAAAATATTATTATAAACGTACCTGTGACATTATAACAGAAAACACTAGCGGCTATATCAGTGCAATAACCAACTTGACCCCATCCGTTAAAGGAACAATCAGCTAGACTGTCCTCTGTACCTTTACAGTCTACACCTGACATCCATACAGGATCTGTAAGATTGCCATAACGGGTGGGTCGATATATTTGATGACCAGCACTGAAAGATAGATATAGAAATACCAGATTGTTTGGTGCGAATCACTCAACAAGTCTTAAATTACAAAAAACAAGTAATTTTATATTCGTAACTTATTACAAATTTGTTTGTGGTACTTTGTTAACACGTCTGTATATTGTATCGTCCCGCGTAACATAACTTACCAAGCAATGTTCGCTGCTTTTTATATTACAAAAAAAACGGTAACATACAAGAAACTGTAAGCCGTATGTACAAGTATGCATACTACTACACAGAGAAAACCGGCTGAACAATGCGGACATCACAAATAGTGCTGTTGTTGATTAAACATAAGAATACTTAACATTTAGGAAACACAAGTCAGGTGTTTGGAGGAAAACGTTTTGCAGTTGGTATAGCACTCTGACATTAACGTGGAACTTAATATCTCTCTAAGATAAAGCTGTCTAGTGAAAGAAAGGAGCGTCACGAATTTGAAATATTCGATGCTACAATCCGGAAATTGCGACGTAATGAAATTAAAACCTTTTACGATGCATTTACCGTATATGTTACAAAGATGTGATCATGTTTTCTGCGCAAACTTTGCTTGCGAATATTGGGTATGCTGAATATGACTGACATATTCGTATTCATCAAAAAAGCTGAGGGGAACAATTGATATTTTCAAAATGGTAGCAAGTCAAAAACTTATTTCATGGTTTCTGACCTTATTCTGGTAGTTGGAATGAGAGAAAATCTTTCAAGAATAAGGAAGTGGGGAAGAAAACTTCCACAATCGGGGTTTTCAAATTTCTCTATCCTACACCAATTGACAAGAATGTGTCTGATGTTCTTCTTTATTCTGATTGCAATATTTACTGGACGTGTTTCAAACTACAAAGTATGGCTACGGTAGCATGACTGTCAATGTATTACCTGTATCCTAACATCCTGCACGTTACATTAGCGTCCCTGTCGTCCCAGTCGTAGTAGCCACAAACACTTCCCCAATAACCACTGTAGTACACTTCTACACGACCCACATTGGAATCTGGACCTCCACTCAGGCGGATGTCAAAGTCTGTTTCTGTTAGAAATTATATTTACATTGGAGAAGAATGAGATAGCAATTAAGCTAATTTCATCACATCACCGTATATATCTCTATCATTTTCAGCCTGCAAAAAGGTATTTTTTGAGATTAATCCCATGAAAAAAAAACAGTGTTTGTTCCAAATTACAAATGTTGATTAAATAAATAACTTATTTTCATCAGATTAAATTGTACTTTAAATGATACAAAAGAAGGTTAATGCATGAAAAGTGAAATCTGTTTTTGCAGGCTGATATTTTTCTGCAAAAGAAGTTTGACAGAGTTCTGTAACAGTTTTAGGATCTTAACCAATCCTTTGATCGCTTTATAAAACTTCAATCAGATAATTTTCACATTAAATTGATATAACGATACTAGAAGCAAGTACACATTTCGTTGTTGTTTTTTGTATTTTGATAGATGTTATATCTTCATTCATTGTTATCCATTTTGAGAAATTTAAGAGCCGTTGAAAATATTGAAAAATCATCCGTGCTTAAAATAGGATTTACATTTAAAAGTCTGTTATTAATATAAACGTACCAGTCACATTATAACAGAAAACACTAGCGGCGAAATTACTCCAATAACCAACTTGACCCCATCCGTTAAAGGAACAATCAGCTAGACTGTCCTCCGTACCGCTACATTGTACACCAGACATCCATACAGGATCTGTAAGTTTACCATAACGGGTGGTGCGATATATTTGATGACCAGCACTGAAAGATAAATATAGAAATACCAGATTGTTTGGTTTGAATCACTTGACAAGTCTTAAATATTATTAAATCGCCAATAGATAATGTCAAGCTGCAGTAACCGATACCTGTTTATAACACAAATAATATCAATATTACACCTTTTAAATGATATAGCATTTACTAGTAACGATCAACTTTTCTTAGAAACTATTATGATGGAAATTAGGGGTAAAACAATTTCATATTCAAGCCACATTAAAAAAGGGAGAGAGAAAACTTTAATCAATGAAATTAGGAATTTAGAAAAAAACAGGACCTAACAACACATTTTTAAATGAGTAAGATGATAAAAGAAATAAGAAAGCAAAAAATTACAGGAAATGTGATACGTTCAAGGCCAAAATTGATAGAGGACGGGGAGAAACCAACCAAATACTTTTGTAATTTAGAATCTCGCAACTCTACTAGTAAAATTATTCCAAATATAACCAAAGATAATGGAACAATAATATCTGACCAAACTGAAATTTTAAAAGAAACTGAAAATTACTACAGAACCTTATACAAAGAACGCGATTCACTTAAAAATGTTAATCTTGAATTACTTCTAGAATCATACACTGTACCCAAACTATCTGCCTATGAATCATTAAATATAGAAGGTCCACTTACTATAAATGAATTAACAAACACACTTTTAAAAATGAAAAACAACAAAAGCCCTGGTTCCGATGGTTTTACAGTTGAATTTTTAAAAATATTTTAGAAACATGTAGGACCATTTATTTTAAGATCATTAAATTACAATTATAGTATATCCGAATTTTCAGTAACACAAAAACAGGGAATTACAACTTGCATTCAAAAAAGGTAATAAACCTCGTAATAAATTAAATAATTGGAGACCTATAACACTTCTAAATAATATCTATAAATTAGCATCTGGTGCAATAGCTGAGAGATTCAAAAATGTTATAAGTAAATTAATCAGTAATACCCGAACTGGCTTTATTTCTGGTAGATATATAGGAGAAAACACACGCTTGATTTATGATGTTATGCAGTATACAGAAGAGAATAATATACCTGGACTATTACTTTTAATTGATTCTGAAAAAGCGTTCGACTCTGTGTCATGGAATTTTATCAGTAGAACATTGAAGTATTTTAATTTTGTCCCGAACATTATCAAATGGATAAAACTTTTTCAGAATAATACACACTCAGCAGTAAATATAGGGGGGAATCTATTAATTTTTTTCAATAAAGTACGGGGCTGTCGTCATACTAGAGGGTTCAAAAAACTCTTTAGATGAAACATTAAAAGCTCTTAACTTCTTTGCTAGTATTTCTGAACTAAAAATGAACTTCTCCAAGACCCAGGTAGTATGGATTGGCAGCAAAAAATACAGTGAAAACACTTTTACTAAAAATTTCGACTTAAAGTACACGATTCACACTATTAGGCATAGAATACGATGTAGACCTACACAGAATTATCAAACTGAATTTTGACAAAAAGCTTGCAAAACTGAAGTCTTTAATTTCTGTCTGGAACAAAAGAATACTTACACCAATAGGTAAAATAGGTTTTATTAAAACTCTCCTAATATCTCAGTTGAATCATTTGTTTATATCGCTTCCCAATCCTGAAAACTTATACATTAAACAACTTAACAAAACATTGTACCATTTTCTATGGAATGGTAAACCAGATCAGGTAAAAAGGGATATAATAATAAAATAAACTATGAAGAAGGGGGGCTGAAAATGATACATCTAAAATCTTTTATAACTGCTCTTAAAGCAACTTGGATCAGAAGGATATATAGTAAACTAGGAAATTGGGGTATTGTTGTGGACTCGTTATTTGATAAACAGAAATTAGCAAATATTGGAATTGAGAAATTGAAAGAAATATCAAAAAATTGTAAAAATGCATTTTGGAAAGATGTTTTGGATGCCTGGTATAAAACTATCAATGCAAGCAAAACAGACAAAACAAATATTAGTATAAATCCAATATCGAAAAGTTATCTTCAATAATACATGGTACACAAAAGGGTTACATTTTATCCATAACATTATTAAAAAAGATAGATCTTTATACAGCTTAGAAGAATTTTGTGAAAAATTTAACATTCGTGCTAACTTTTTAAGTTATCAGAGTCTGAAAAATGTTAAAGGTCAGTACATAATGAAGAACCGCCAAGCTTTCGATTCAGAAAATAATATTATGTTACTAAGTATACCTATAAATCTCAAGTTAATCCTAAGATGTAAAAAAGAAGCTCGTGAAATATATACCATATTAATCAAAAATGAAGTTAAACCCACTGCCCAAAATAAATGGAATCAAAATTTCAATACTGATGAAAAACATGGAAAAATATATACAAATATCCTTTCAATACCTGTACCAGTTCCAAACTACAATAGTTACAATTCAGAATAAATCATAGAATCCTAACAACAACCTTTTTTTTTAAATTTTAAATTGGTAAATTAGATAATTATATGTGCACCTTTTGTAAAACTCATCCAGAAACAATAATACATATATTATGGGATTGTGAAAAGGTATCTAACTTGATAGATGTTTGGCAAGCAAATTAATAAATATACAAAGTTCAACTTGGATAAATTGATATTACATACGGTAAAACAATACATATAAACATCAAAATGCCTTGAAATAGAACTCAATCTGAATGGTCTAAAAAATCATATCAAATCAATTCGAATTAAAAGCTCACAAAATTCAAATATCTAAAAGTAACATTAAAAATAAATTTCAGATTAACACCCAAATACTTCACTGGTTACAAATTTAAACATTAAAAGAAATTAATTTAACATCTTTCTGACCTAGGTTTCCCTTGTCCTTGTTTTGTCCAGCATGTCTTGTCCTTTGTCTTTTGTGTGCATTTGATTTTTGTCTGTATACCTAATGTCACGAATACCATTTATTTAATAATAATTTATGTGAGTGTTTAACTGTAAGTGTATGTGAGTCTGTGTGCGAATTATTTTTTGTCTCTGTATATAGGTACATGCTTGACAAGTATATATTCATAGTGAATTAAAAAGAAATTATGAACAACAACTCTTAAGAAGTTTTAACAGCTTACCAATCATGTACCATATATGTTGTATCATGTCATGCAAAAAAAAAAAAAAGTCTTAAATTACAAAACACAAGTAATTTTATATTCGTTACGTAAAAAAAAAATGTTTGTGGTAATGTGTTTACACGTCTGTATATTGTATCGTCCCCCGTAACATAACTCACCAAGCAATGTTGGCTGCTTTTTGTATTACAAAAAAAACGTTAACATACAAGAAACTGTAAGCCGTATGTACAAGTATGCATACTCCTACCCAGAGAAAACCGTCCGAACAATCCGGACATCCCAAATAGTGCTGTTGTTGATTTAACATAAGAATACTTAAAATTAAGGAAAGGATTAATAACTTGTTTTTTAGGCATATAACATCAAATAAGCGGATTCATCGAACAACCTGATATTCTGTTACATAAAACCCGATAGCAGAAATTATTACTATTTATCTCGAGCCGTGAATCACATGACAGTTGGTAGATTTATGTGTTATTTCTCCATGAATGTTGAATAAAATCATTAGGAAATTTGAAACAATACATTTGAATGTTAAGTAATAAGATGTAACCTACAATTCAACAGAAAGCTATTTTCAAGATATGATATCTCTTATCACAAGCCAGGTATTTGGAAGAAAACTTTTCCAGTTGGAATAGCACTTTGACATTAACGTAGAACTTAATTTTTCTCATGTCCGTGTGTGTAAGATAAAGATGTCCAGGTTAGTAAAGGGGCGTAAGAAATTTCTATCTTACACTCCATTTCACGTGATGTGACATCAAAGTGACTCAACAGTGTCTTGACGTCCGGAATTTGTAAAATTCCGATGCCACAATCTGGAAATGGCGACGTGATGAAATTACAACCTTTTACGATATAGTTGTATTGATGTGCAACAAAAAGTAATGTATATCATCTGTTTGAATATTCTTAATTTTTATAATAAAAGCGTAGCTCTAGAAGGCGCCCGAGCAAAGCTCTTTAATGGTAACACATGCGTGCGTACACAGAGTTGCTTCCCCTTACTACACATTGCCTTTTTTTTCGTCCGGCAGTAGACGTCCAGTGGAGAAACCGTAAGTGTATCTTTGAAGCAAAGACAATTGTGTTTCAACCCATGCATAAATGTCTTCATATAGTGAAAAAAAATCCTCATGTTTTATTACTTGTTTACTCAGATTAAAACTGATATATATTTTGAGTGCAAACGAATCTATCGCATTAATTATGATACAAGCAGGAATGAAACTTCCTTCAGAGATCATCATACTATGACGTAACAAGCACGTCACACTTCATCGGCCTTCGTCTGTTTTTTCTGGAAGGATGAAATACAACCGGAACATCTTAAAACTGATGTCCGTCGCATTTATCTCTTTGTCTGTGCTTAACACCTTTTTTATTTCAGTTTTTACCAAAAACACGAACAGTGAAAATGCGGATATTTTCTAAAGATTTCAAGTTATCAACCAGGCTCAGTTAATATTTTTACCGGGAGATATCATTACCTGTCATACCTCGTTGACAGTTAAAAAAATTGAAATGTAATCCGGTGTATCAGGATGGAACACTACATATCGAAGTTACATCAAATACATTTATTTAGACTAATCGTCAAATATGTAATATGCACCTTTTCCTATAGCAATTACCAAACAGTTTTTCCCAAGTTTATCTCAGTCATGCTTTTTGTGCCCTGGTTGAAGCACGTAGGGGATTTGATTCTTAATGAGGGAGGAAGCTGGAGTATCCGGAGGAAACCCGCGTGCTCGGACAGGTGACCGGACATGAATCCGCCAATCTTGGTAAAGACGAGCGCACTATCCACTGCGCCACTGGACCAATCACATACGTTACGCACAAGAACAATAATCTACCTTAGCTTTGACTGGAAGG